ACAGTTCTGGGTCAAAGGAATTATTTTATATGGGAATAAGGTACTTTTATATCAGCGACTTGTCTTTTAAAAAAGGCATCGTGATATCATTTCCCTCTTTTTGTTTGTTTGCCGTGAAAAGATACCTCCCCAGTTCAAAACGCATCATTAGTCTTCAAAGGAACCAGAAAAAGGTACCAGGACTCCCTGCTTACCTTGTCACGACTCTGCCATCTTAACAACCAGATTTAAGTGTGGAGCAAATTAAAGACCGTGGTGAGATATCAAAATATCACACGCCTTCATTCGTTAACCACATTGGCTTGGTTTATATTCCTGCCCTTTGATACATGTGGAGTTGACTATTGAAAGTGTTTTTTTAAAAATTAGAGTGGCATTCATTAACCGTTAAAATACAATTTAGCACACTGGACTTTAAATCACTATTTATTTGGCACGTTTTTCTTTGTCTTTTTAATGTATCAAACATTCTTGCACTTCTATGACTGCTATTACTCGATCTTTGTCTATTATACTTTGTTTCACGAGTTAAACTACTATTATAGTATCTTCTGCAGTATATTCTAGGTTGAATTGGCTAAAAAAACCTCTTTCCTAATCTAGAATTTCTAGTGTTTATCTCCAGTGGATATTCCCAGCTAATTCTCTGGGAACACTATCAGAAATCTCATTGGGGGCTTCACACGTTTGTATCCTATAATTAAATTACTACGTAGAAATGTTAATTAAAATTTGGTTTTTCAAGGACATTTTCAGGTTCAAAAGATCCTCCTAATTTACACGAAAACCCTCGTAAGCTACACGATAATGATTCGACACTGATTCGAATCTATCGTGATTGTATCTTATTGTCCACTCACGGCAGGACTAACTTTGCAGCTACAGCGCAGATCAAACAAAAACTACCAAATCTACAAACGAATCATTTGGTTATCAAAACGGTCTCTCAGCTTTGGTGTCTAGTGTTCCGTCTGTTCAAGCACAAGCAGGTTTGAGACTGGAATACTTTACAATAAAGTTGAATAGCTGCAAATCACAAAATAGATGTATAAAGAGGGTGAAGGAACACTGACAAGGAGAAGGGAGAAATACCCATGAAATGAGAGGGAAATGACAATGAAATAGAAGGAGTGTGAGAGGCAGAGGCGCAGAAATCAACGTAGGAGAAATGTCCCAGAAAAACCTAAGGGATGAGAGAGAAATGTCGGAAGGTTATGGGATAAGAGACGTTTTTAAATGGTTTGTTCCCCCACTATGAAAGCAGCTAATAGATATAGAGTTACAAAGGCAAGAGAGAGATGATATACAAGTACGCTTTGAAATCTTAAACTACTGCCTTCTTTAGTTCAGGTAGTTCCAGCTGATACATGAACCAATGCAAACAGATTGATAATAAGATTATTCAACCATGTGGAACTATTAATAAGCAGGTTCTGAATTATTACCGATCGATAAACCGGTCCTATTTATATGGATTATATAAAGTCCCTTAACATTCTTTACTTTTGTAATGTTTTATACTAAAGCATCTTTTTTTCACTTGAGTAGAAACTCCAGGATTCATTTGAAAGGGCTTTGACCACTTTTCTTTGCGGTGTATGGTAGTTCCAGACGCATCGCTCGACATCAAAACTAACACCACCAAATACCACCCGGCGTGAAAAACAAAAACCCGTGAAATACTGCGCTGTGCTGTGATAATTAAAATAGCTGAGGCATAGCCATTAGCCTGATGCATCGCTCGACTTCAAAGGAACTACAACCAAATTACACCAGTAATTACTTTCATCACCAGTTTGATCTTGAAGGAGTTTTCAAAGACCCGCGAAAAACTAGGCTGTTATGACAAACAAATGCAATTCTCATATCTCGTTTGCCTACTTCGTCCGGTTGAATTTCTCATTGTAAAAAGAATTACTCCTATAACGTTTTTATAAACGATAAAAATAGATAAAATAGATATAATCGACAATGAAAGTTAGAATTGCATTTCAGTTCCATTCACGGCTCATTTAATATGCATTCAAAAGATCACGCGTTTTTTTCGCGGAAATTGCAATGCGTTATGATTGGTTGAAAGACTTTCACAAAGGGTGAGACACTATATTATATAAAACAGCATCATTATTTTTCACTGGCAAACACCTTCCGTAGTCCGCTTTCCATTGTTTTATACGTCGGTATTACTGAAGTCTTGATTAGAGTGTGGAGGAAAAGATCAAAGACCTAATCGTTAAGGTAACACGGGATGTCTGTAGATATACTTATTAGTTGACGTGGACTTTTGGTCATGATGATTTAAATTTTAGAAATGCATGGATGTGGGCATGTAGACGTATATCATGTTAATCAGCAACAGAACAAGGGAATGGTGAATGGCACCTTAAAAAAAGCTTAGTTGTTATATTCAGAGTATCCTTTTCCACTCAAATGTGTCCATTTCGTAGTCTGGATAAATTGGGAATCTTTTACTGGAATATCGGAAAATGTCCCCTACAACGTTCCAAGAAGACAAGGAAATTTGAAAATTTGACTTATTTGAATCAACTTTTTAGCAAAAATAAAACTTAGCAGATCTTTTTACATAAGCTATTAGTTTTCAATTAATTTTTAGGAATATTATCAACAATGCCGCGATTTCTGGTTTTCTTCTGGGTCTTCGCCTTCATGTTGGCGTATGAGGTCGACAGCCGCGGAGTGTCTTTGTCAAGAGGTCTGTCCAGAATTGGGTCGAACTTCCTCAGGCGAAATAGAGATGCAAGTGGAGTGTTGAACACAGTCGCAACTGCATCGTCAGTTTACGTCGGCGGTACCGGTATCTGGTGGCGATCTGGGATAATCGCATCGATAAATCAACTGGAACAAGGAAAGAAAGAAGAAGCCATGGAGACACTGAATATTGCCATCGCAACCCTGACTGTCTTTGACACTACTCAAGCAACGGTCCAACCAATCGCTTCTGAACTTATCCATCAACTAGTGAAACATAAAGGACAGTTTAATACATTTTTCCAAGGATTGACAAGCTATAATGGAATGGTGACTCAGCGAACTGTCATAGAAACTACAAGCGATGCCGATGACATCATTGAGAGTGCCAATTCTATGAAGAAGCAAATCGCTGAGTTTTTCGACAATGAGGTTACAGCAATAATGAGAAATACCCAAGGATATGAAGACCTTGTGACAAGCCTCAATAATGCAAAGAAATGGGCCAAAGCTGCGACCTGGYTGGATACAATAAGTGGGCCACTTTTCGACGCTGCCAACATAGCGTTTTGTGGCTGGCAATTACATAATGCAATACAAGACACAGATTCTCCACCAGAGACCAAAGCATTGAACATTGCCAGTGCATCKTTAGGRGTGGCAAGTGGGGCGGTWGGAGTGGTRTCATTCGTTGCGGGRGCATTAGCCACGGCTGGAAGTACAYTGGCTGCATTTGCAGGTCCTGTCGGTGCAATAATTGGGTGTGTACTTGGTCTTGCCTCTATAATCATCGATCTCATCAACTCACATAACCCTCATGGTACCATTAAAGATCACCTTGAAACCATCCAGGCACTAAGAGAAGGTTCGTTACAGTATCTTGAAAATGATGTTAACCTAACKAAGTCAATGACATCATCCTTCTCACGAAGTGTTGGGTTTGACACAGTCTACCAAGTGAACCAAGGAAATCTGATAATGGCGATGCGTACAGATGCTTTCAAAACCATCAGTGGTGTTGACAGCGATTCCAACGTCGCTTTTAACATCAAACGTACCCCTGCAGACGACGATGGCTACCTCGCGTTGGGTACGAACCGGATCTTTGACAAGTCAAAGTACGCTAATTTGATATGGCATCCTGAAGGTACAGTACCACTTGGCTATGACTTTTATGGAAAAGTAGTAAAACCCGACGGAAAAGGAGTTACTGTCTTCGCCACGACTGCCATGGTTGCTGAACGGTTCTGGATCCGAGGAATTCACATTGACACACGACTTGAAAATGACGAAGCAGCCCCAGACAATGTTATAATTGGAGAACTGTCAGGTCTCGCTGAATCTTCGAGTAATATACGAGTGTATACAGGTGCTGGCGATGATCTTCTTCAGGTCACTGGAGTCACTTGTAATAGGTGGACACAGGGAGGTTTCCAGGCTGAATTGGGCAGTGGGGTGAATNGTTGTCTTTCCAAGGCATGAACCCCGACCGAAGGCAGTTTCCCGGGGATGCTAGCGAACAGGAAGACTTCAAAATATTTGCTGGAATAAAATACAGTATGCATACAAATTGGGGATCACTTTACTTCAAGCTGAAAGCATCCGAAAGCTCAAATGAAATAGAAAATTTTGGGATTGGTGAAATCAAAGATGTCAGTGTGCTTTATGGTATGTAAACAATGGTCCGCTATAGGTTGATTATATAAGCAATATCATTTTGATTGCGTTAAACCTTTAACAAAAAGCAATTGTTTTCATAGTTTTTGTTGACCTAAATTGCGGCCAGCCGTTCTATTATAGAGTTGGGGTCGGTTGTATGAAAAACAAACAAAACTATCAGTTCATATYTGATGGATAGCGATATTTACCTTTCATAACCGTGATGATGTTTGTGTCCTTCAGCGCTGGCTCCAAAGGGACTTATTACTCASTTAAAATGGTATCTTATCTTGTGACTTTGATCCTAGCATAAGAATTATATTAATTCATTTAATTTCCGGCACATATCTACTCTTTTTATAGAAAACCCCATGCAGAAACAGAGTAATAAAAAGTTTCAATTCASTTTTCCTGATAATTTTAATCATTAAATAAATATGTTTTGGATTTTTAAGGATCTCCATTTGATGACGAAGTTTMACTGTTTGACGTAAAAGATGGCATAGTTAAAAGCGATGGTGGACGAAATAACTATGTCATCTATGTCGCTAACGAGGAGAACTCAAAGGACTTCACACATACCATCACCGATGAWTCAGAAGACTTTGGTAATGTGTTTCTCGCTTCGAAGATTCCAAACTCCAGTCCTTGGGCGTACCAAAAGCTCACAGAAACAGATGTAGTATACAACAAAGAGACGCAAACACTRGTTATCTAYATGAGAGAYGAACAGGGTAATCATAAGTACACTGGCAGAGTCATTTTCAAGCGTACCAAACCAGRMGATATTGGCAGAACCCAAGTGTACTTCACTCAACCTGGTRGAGCCAACAGATGCTTACAGATCGCGTCTTTGAACAGGAAAAACGTTGAATGCAGAAATCCKAAACCACTYAATGACCTCAGCAGACCGATTGGTGTTGATCAAAGGTATATTGCTGAATTTGTAGATRAATATTACAATTGTGATGCSTTTCATTTCCAACGCAAGGCCTTGATCATATGAAGCAGGCTGGCCCAATTGAAAGGGCTGATTTCTTTCGTWKTGTCTCCTATTCAAAAGAAAACAAAAGAAACCAGCTTCATATAATCAGCCTCCAAATGACTGGAAACAAAATCGCGCACAGTTTGTAAATTTTATGTAAGTGTCCAAAATGATGTAAATTCGATGTAATTTGCCGATTGGGAAGTCTACTACGGATAAGAATTTTTCTACACTGAAGAGTTTTTTTACCCTGGCTGCAGTATACTCATTCAAAACGGAACATTGTTATATTTCCAATCGGGAAAGTTTTAGGATTTTATCAGGGATCTGAAAGAAAATCCCGGCAGTGTTAACCATACCTTATGGCCAGATATCTTTTGTAGTGTCCCCTACCGAAAACAAAAGAAAGCAGCCCGCTTCATGTAATTACAAAAATATTGACCGAATAGAAAGGATACCGATAACAATCTTTCTACACCGAAGAGGTTTTTTCTCTCAGGATGTATATGCAATACAAAAGATGTCTCGATCCATACTTATTCAGAACGGAACATTGTTATATTTCCAATCGGGAAAGTTTTAGGATTTCATCAGGGATCTGAAAGAAAGTCACGGCAGTGTTAACCATACCTTATGCTTTCCGAGAGAGAAGGAATATATAGTTCCCTATATCAAATAATTTAATCTRTGAGGTCGAAAACTCCACCCAAACCCTCGCATATACAGGTAACATTAGTTTTCTCATTTMTTGATAGCGAGACTATTGATGACCGCCCTGTTCCAAGTGTTCCATTCCAATACAACATGGACGCCGACTTGACRGCACAKCCCATTCCTGGCCTTTGYGGGGATTTTGTTATTTCTGTSAAYAGYGGCCAARATCCTCGAGAGGGTCAAACTCAACAACGTACTSTACAACTACCAGCAAACTCATTCCTTGTAGTTAACGACAAC